TGTGTGCATTTAAGAGTTACCTGCTTTTAAGCAGAAGTGCACAGAAAACCCTGAAAGACTTAGCTCACAGCATGTACCATCATGATCCTTTTTGTATTTAAAACAAATCAAGACAAAAGGGCATTAAAATACAAATGTGATGAAGGAAAACTTTCTGATTCCTCCCCCCCCCCCTTCTTGGTTTCCAGTGAAAAGCTTATGGCTTATCAAATCGAGGGCTGTCACAGCTGTCTCTCACTATACAGCAATGAGAGGGAACACCTCTCCTTCACATGAGAAGAGAACTGGCAACTGTACAAAATAGCTGCTGGGGGAGCCACTGTGGAAACATTGCTAGCCGGTTCTTTTCTGTGCTTGGATGAGATCGGGAATGGGATGGATAGTGCTCTGATGTAGGTGCTTCTGTAAGAAGGTGCTGTTTGTAATGATACGCTTCTGTTAGGTCAGAGCCTGCTAATGTTGCCTGGTGTATTTCCAGACTGCTAAGGTCCTGTTGCATGACTTCTTTTTCTTTTCTGGTGGTGGTGGGGTAACTGGTGTTCCTTTGCAGAGTTGGCTTGTGTCCTTGGAGTGTCTTTTATGAACCCTTACTGTGCCTTCTAGCTGTGCCAGAAGCACTGGAAATGCGCAGGATGCTCTATTTCCATTCCTTGCACTGAAATTTGTTTGAACAATCTCAGTGCTTTTTCAAAGTTGTTTGGAAGAAGCAGAAGGTGAAAGTATCACTTGCATTAAGGTGCTGCATATCTTTATCTACAAGGCTCCTTCAACATTGACAAGCTTTTTAGTTATGCTTTGTTATAACCACCAATGGCACAGTTCAGCTCTACTTGAGCTTGTACTGTAAATCTGACAGTGCCTCAGTGTCCTGAAATATTTTTCTTTTCCTCTGGTGGCTAATTCCATGTCTCGCATTCCCAACACAGCCCATGATGTTTTGCTAGATATGACATGATGGCTATTCCATATGACACAAAGAAATGGAAGCTGGGTTAGCAGTGTTTTTTTTACATGTGCCATCTGTAAATGTACTCCTGGTTTCTCCTTCCATTTGTTCTTGCCCCTCTGGAAAAGCTATTCCTATGCTCTAAGCAAAGTGTAATTTGAAGCTATTATAGACCTTGGTAAATATTTATGGTTAGGGCAAGCTTTGCAAAGGTTTGTTCTTCCAAGCTGTGCATATGACTGGAGAGAGAAAGAAGGAGGAAGGCCAGAGGCAGTCGTTTTGCTGTTGCAGCCTGCGGGGCTGGAAGGCAGTGTCCCCGTGTAGGTGCTCAGACCAGTAGCATGCTTTCAGATGACCCTTCTGCTCTGCTGAACGCTTCTGAAAAAAAGGTGTGGTGGGTACCTCAAGCAGGCTTAGGGTGCAGAGTGCCCTTCAATATACATCTCTAGATTGTGGGCAGCAAGCTTTGCTTTAGTCTGTAAAGGAGGAAAACCCTCCATCTGCCACAACTCTCTGCTTTGTCAGTGGTGAAACAATACCCTGTTCGTTCCCAGGCACAGGCTGGGGCCGACCGCGGGCCGGTCTGTTATGGCAGAGCTGTCTGCCACCTGTGCCACCCACCTCCCTGGGGATCTTGGAGAACCAAGTTTGACAGTTTATATGTTGTCCTTGGGCTACTGTGCCAATCCAGGCAGCAACACACTACTCCAGCTTGTAGCTGTCATCACCTGTGAGAACTTCATTTAGACATCAGAGGGGTGTGCATCCAGTCAGCTCTTCGTAAAGAGGCAGACTTGTCTCTCCTGCCACACTGGTGAGATATGAAACAAGTCCCACTGGAAGAACACTTGGTAGTTTTCCATCTTTTGCTATGAAGAAAGCCAGTGCTTGAGAAGCTGATCTCCAAGGTTTTCTCATGCAGAGAGATGTGGAAGAGTTTCTGTGTTGTGAACTTTCCTTAGACTAATGCAGAATCCCTCCAAGCTAATACTGTCTCCTGTTACACATGCATTATGAATACTTGTTTTGCCTTCACTTCTTCAAAGCTGTGCAGTATTTAATTAGCTTTTTTTTTTTTTTAATGTTCTTCATAGTGGGACTGATTTCCTGCCCACGTAAGCTGATTTTTTTGGCAGGGTTGTGTGTGGCAATAGGAAAGCTTTGCATGGCTGGAGCGAGAATCCCAGCTGACTTTGCAACCAGAGATCACTGGTGCTGTTACAAAGGTGTAGGCTCAAGCTGAAACAAGTCACCAACACTTAGAGAGCAGCTCTGCTGTTAAACCACAGACACCAACTGCACACACGCTTTGCGCACCCTTATTCAGTGGGAACACACAACTGCCTAAATGTCAGCCCATGTGCTTTGCCCTGTGGCTGAGGTCACTGCTTCAGCCTCCCTGAATCATAGGTCATGGCCAAAGACACTGAAATCTCTGGTAAGATCAGAGCTGGTTCTCCTCTAGTGCACCTCAGCTAGGTGCTTTCACCACAAGCACTCAGGCGCCTGGGAGCAGTTCCTAAGCTGTACAGGTTAAATTGAGCCAGGTTATGGTTAAATAGTGTATGGTTAGCAGGTCTTCATTAACCCTGCTGATTTTTAGAGAGTAGATGAGCTGGCAGACTCGAGGGTGTAGAAATCTTTGTCCAAGCAGCTGCAGGGGAAAGAATACATACGAAAAAAGCTTTTATGTTGCAGTTAAAAGGTGTCTAAAGGTCTTGCATGCAAAGAAATACACACAGTATATATCACTGACTTAGACTTGTAAGATTCACAACTGAAGATCCACAGCAATCTTGTATTATTTTCTGAAGTGCACTGCAATTTGTGGTGGTGTTTGGTAGCAAAATAATCCTTCAACATAGCATTTTGAGAGGGTAAAACTTGAGAATTTATTATGAGAAACCTCACTGCTGAAAGATGGATTAATTTTTTTTTTTAATATGCCAAGCACGTTAATGAGTGTCAGAGGTAAACTAGAATGCTGGGACAAAGGGAAGTAGAGAATAAAATGTTTAAGTAGCACCTCTGCTTATTTCATGGTTAAGTTATTTTGTATTAGCCACGGAAATTGCTGCTGTGTCTGCTCAGTGAGGATGCATGCAGACTACTCAATTAGCAAAAAAATCAGAAAGAAATGACCTCGTGGCTTGCTTCTAAATGCTTGTATTTGTTTTTTTGTAAGCAGGAGACACTGTAATACAGCTTCCAATCAACCAACCACATAGTTCTGGTAATCAATGCCACAAACAGACTTTAGAGAGAGATTATATGAAAGCGTGCGCCTGCTTTTGGGGATAAAACATTTTCCAAGTTGCATGAGGTTGCTGGAGATCTGCAGGTCATGATAAGAGCTCAGTGCTCTGCTGGATTCTGCCTTAACTTGCTGGCAGGCATCACTGGAGGCATGGAGCTAACGCTTTGGTGAACAGTATCCATCCGATTTGGCAATAAAAATCGTATTTCTGTGAACAGAGAAGCAGGGAGATGAGCACTCCCCAGTACTCACCTCCTTGGACACATTTGAAATCAGTTTTGCAGCTGAGTGTAGGCTTTAGTGTGTGCTATTTCTCTGGAGGATTTGGTTTTTAGGCTTTCACAAGGGTCAGTTGAATGATGAAGAAATAGAAAAACAATCAGTCCTTTTTAATTGTACACAAACTGCTGTCATGCTGTGACTGGGATCAGACAAAGAGTTGCAGCGTTTATGGAGGGTAACGCTTTGCAAGCATGTAGCAGCAGAAAGTGTAGATAGTGATGCAGGTTTTTGGTTATGACAAATAGTTAAGCGTAGCCTACATACCTACTTCTGAAGGTATTCATTATCTTGCATTTCATCATATCATCTGTTAGCATGTGGCTTTCATGAATAATTGAGACTTATCACAAAAATAATTTTGGCAGAGCCTAGTTTCACACGTTTCCTGTTAAACACCCAGGAGAGGAACAGGCTCTTGTTTCCCCTGAGTCCTTTTGCCATGGTGGTGGAACTGCAGAGCCAGAACTGTGGTGCTTCTCCATACAGCTATTACAGCATTCGAGAACTTCCCAAACTTCTGCAAATGCAGCAAACTGCTATGCACAGAATTTGGAGTTTGATTTTTGGACATGTGTTTGGCACGTGCAGTGTTTTTTCTTCACTGAATTACCATCTTCCGTGTAGGCAGCAGTGGCAAGTGACCCAGGAAACAACTTGCAATGCAGTGTCTAGTCTGGCATCTGTATTTGTGCAAAACACTGTAATTTACAGTAGCATGCATCAGCGCAGCTCAATTGCAGAGTTCTTCAACTGACTTATTTGGAATAAATAGGCAATAAATTACGTGCTAGCATATTAAAAGGAATTTATCAGAACAGGTGCTCAAAATACTATTTTATCATAGACTTTTGCCAGCTGTTTAAAGTCAGCAAAAATATTGCTGTTTATTTCAGTGGGAGTTTGATCAGACCAAGATGTATTATAAGAGAACTTGGGGACTTGTGCTTTCGGGATAATTTTCTGTGAAGACGACATCCCTGCCAATCCCGCAAGCTGCAGGGGTGGGGGGCAGCGATCTTATTCTTAAATTTCTGCATTTTTTCTTTTCATAGGATGTATCATGGCTGATGCATTTACACGCATTATGTAGGGTAAGTTGTAAGGAGTTGTAACTGAGGCTGTAACCACAGCTTGTCCATGATCCAGTCTGTGAGCACCAGCACCCCTTAAAGACGGACCTCATCATGTTTTAAAACAGAAGTTTAATCTAAAGTAAAGAAACTTGGCCCTAAAACTAGCTGAAACTTAACAAACTTGTACCAGAATTCTAAGAAATGTAGAAATCAGTTAATGTAGAAAATTCTTGTTTTTCCATTGGGCGATTCTTGCTTTACCCTGGCCAAACTTGTCCTTGGAACATGAGGAAACAGTTTCAGCCGCTGTAAGGTCACACAAATGGGGATCTGAAATCCTCTTCTGTTAACAGAATAGTCACTGTTTTCTTCTACCCTGAAATTAGTGCCAGTAGGACAGTTTTGAAACATGCAGAGAATTACCACATGCTGCTGCAATGGTAAAACAACCAGCTGAGCTCCCAGGTAACACCTCATCTCCTTCTGCCACCACTTTTTTTTTTTTTTTTGGGGGGGGGGGGTCAAACTGATGAATCAAAGGTTCATCATTCAATATCCATGCTGTAAGCTACATTGGCTTAAATCCCCTGCTTTCTTCTCCCAACATCCCTCAGCCTTCTGCCAGCACATGGTGGCTATTTTAAGTGGAAAAATATAGTCCTGTTGTGCAGATACCTTTTTTCCTTGATCCTCTTAAAATCTTCACCAGGGCCTTCCTTGGACACTTCAACTAGAGGTGGCACAAAATTAAGTTCAGAATTTTTTTTTCAGTAGTATGTTTTTTATCATTGGTTGCCAATGGAATGTAATAGGAGTCCACACAAAAGCACTCCAAATATATTAAGTACAGCATTGTGGTTTCAGGCAAGGGTAGGCTGCATTTCAGTTTCTGCGAGCTGAATTTTATCAGACACTATTCCAACTAGCAGCATGCTAATCGATCATCTGTGTTGCTTTGCAAGACAGTAGCATATTTAATGTTCACTAATTCCAAAGAAGAGTTTCTGGAGAACAGTGGATGGCATGGCAGGAAGCCATGGGCAGCTACTGCTGTTAGAGCAGGTTGTGAAGGTAAGGTCTGCCTGCCTCAGAGAGCTTCCCAGAGAAGTCGTGTCAGCAAGATTTGAAAAATGCCTAAGAGACCCCATCCCTCAGTGACTGCCAGAACTGAAATATCTGTGCTGTTGCTCCAAAGGGCACCAGAGGAGTAAAGCTCTGCTCTGCCTGTGGTTGAAGTGTTTAGTTGTTTGATGCTAGCACTTAATTCTTCTGAGTCACAGCAAGTTTAGAAACTAGACCATAGTATGTTAGAAAGATGGCAAGTGGAGAGGAATACTTTGTATTTTCTGCCATCCAGCCATAATCAAACAGCAGGGAAAAAAGCTTGGTTTATTTTCACTAAGCTTTTCCAGTAGCTCTGTTGTTAGCAATCGTCATTCCACAGATTGTAGGAAAAAAGTGCTCTATGAGGTATTTGAGGGGAGCTGGTCAAATCTATTCACAAAATGTTCTTTTCCACTGCCCACCCACTGCCACCATCTCACTGCTCTCAGTCTGGCTCAGTTGGCTGTTCTCCCCCATGGCACGACAGGGGTGGGCTTTTCTCTTCAGCCTGTCTGGTGCTCACTCCTCTAGCAGTGGCCTAGCAGTGTGTCTCTCTCACGCCCCAGTGCTCCCCTGAGCTCTTCTTTCAGCTCTGTGCTCTTTGCAGGGTTTCCTCTGTTCTCCCTGTCCTTTCAGCAATGGGGGCTCGAAGTCCTGGCAGAGGAGCGCAGCCGACTTTCACAAAAGCCATTTCCCTTCCAATACCAACAGCACAGCAGAGGTGGGAAAAGCCTTCCCCAGGGCTCAAGGTTTGCCCTGGTGATGTACTGGAACTGGGCTAGCAAAGCACAGCCTTTGCATGGGCCCTGGCTCATCCGGGCTGGCATAGCCAGCGAGCACCCCAGAGGCTGCTGCAGCCAAGAGTTGGGATCTCTCAGCCCGTCCTGTTGCCAGTGCTTTCAACAGGCGGCTGGGGCACTGACTGCCACACTGGCTGGGACCTTGTTGCAGACAGAGCTCTTCCCACATCTGGGAAGGATTCCTAGGCTGAGGATGGGATTTTTTACTGCAGAGAGGCATGGCAGGGGGAGCAAGCCCTTCCTTGGGGAGAGGACAGCCCTTCTCTCCTGTTGCTGTCACAGGCTGTCGTGGTTTAACCCCAGCCAGCAACTAAGCACCACGCAGCTGCTCACTCACTTCTCCCCCATCCAGTGGGATGGGGGAGAAAATAGGGAAAAAGAAGTAAAACTCGTGGGTTCAGATAAGAATGGTTTAATGGAACAGAAAAGAAGAAACTAATAATGATAACACTAATAAAATGACAACAGCAATAATAAAAGGATTGGAATGTACAAATGATGCGCAGGGCAATTGCTCACCACCCGCCGACCGACACCCAGCCAGTCCCCGAGCGGCGAATCCCTGCCCCCCACTTCCCAGTTCCTAAACTAGATGGGACGTCCCATGGTATGGAATACACTGTTGGCCAGTTTGGGTCAGGTGCCCTGGCTGGGCATGAGAAGCTGAAAAATCCTTGACTGTAGTCTAAACACTACTGAGCAACAACTGAAAACATCAGTGTTATCAACATTCTTCGCATACTGAACTCAAAACATAGCACCGTACCAGCTACTAGGAAGACAGTTAACTCTATCCCAGCTGAAACCAGGACACAGGCCACGCTCAGCCTCCCTGAGCAGAAACGCAATCACTGCTCCGATTTTCCAAAGGCATAAGTAATCTAGGGGCGAAAGGCTGCACCTACCTCTGAGCTGCAAACACAAAAACGTGTGGCAGATCTCATCACAGCACAGCCAGATACATTAATGCAGGGAGACTTGAGTCGCTTTCTGTTCCTTACCTGGAGAGTTTCAAGCATCAAAAGAGTCCTTCAGTGCTTTGATACTTTTTCTGCCTTCGCAAAGCAGTGTTTGCAACTCGTGCATCAAAACTCTTCTGAGAGCCCTGCTACTTGCAAGTCTTCTAGAAACTTGTGCTTTCATAGTGTATGAACCCCTAGGGAGACATGAATCTTTCAGAGGCTTCATGCAAATAAAATGCAGCATTTTACAGTCTTAGACATAGCCTAAGGTTTCTCAGTTTTTTCCTAACAAAGTACTGATTTTCTGCTCTTTTATTTATTTCTTTTAGTAAACATTTTCAGTTCACACTTGGTTCAGCTGTATATAACCAATATAATCCTATTTTCTTACTACTTAACCAGATAATCAAGATGCCAAAAGCATTTCTATGGCTTGGGGATTCCCTTGTTTTCTGCCTTAAAATTCTAATTGCAGTCATGTATGAACTGCTGGTTTATAATACAGAAAACACGATTTAGTCCCCAGAAAAAAAGAACATAGAAATGCATGCAGGAAGACTCATTGTAATTTGGAAGAATAATAATATAATAAAATTCAGGTCATTGTAGCAAAGATGTAAACTAGAACTGCTCTGTGTTCAGTGAAAAAAAAGGCCTCTGAGCATCTTTTCTTTCCCCTAGAAATGGGTGCAGGCAGACTTGCTGTCTGTCCTACTTCATAGCTATGGAATTGTGCCCCTGGAGTTAATCTTCTAGAGTTAGTGACATCCTGCAGATGTCTTTGAAGCAGGGGCAGGGAGGGGAGCAGGACTGGGGTAGGGAAGGTTATGCTTTGTAGGGTTTAGGGTTGTTCCATGCGGGGCCCGGACGACAGGACTCCAATATGATGATTAAAGTCGCCAGTTTATTGAGCCTAGCTGATCGTTCTTATACAATTCTCTAAGTTGCTTAGAAGCTTTGATTGGCTGCTGCATGCAAGCATTTGGTGTCCATGTGCACAAACATAAAATGTGATTGGTTATATCGATACTGTCCACGCGTATAAACATAAGATAGTTAGTTATACTCTGTACGCGCGCATAAACACAGGACATAATTGGCTATATTAACTAGAGCATGCGAAACTTGTCTCAGTCTAATTGGCCAAGATAAGCCCCTGAATTGAGGTTGGTTGTGCCAAGTTCCCTTTATTGTGGAATGTGCACCTGTGTTTTTCTAATTGGGATCTTTCTTTTTCTATCTTTTTGTTTATTCTGTTCAAGGCCTTCTAAAGGCATCTGGAATGCTCTTGCGACCATGAGCTACTTTCAGGCCCAGTAACTAAGTTCCATATAATTGACCCCAACAATGCTTACCTACAGTATTAAGCATCAGAGAATCCATATGAGAACTACCTTGAGGCCACTGAAAACAGAGTGGCTGCTGACTGCAGGGAACCGTTGGTTATTATTAACAGCCAAAGGCAAGCATCATGTCATCAGTTTGTTTCTAATTTAAAGATAACAATCTTTAAATGCTGCTTTTCTGTTTTTCCCCACAGGTAAATATGTCTATCAGCCCATGACACCCGTAGAGCAGCTTCCCAGCACCGAAATACCCGTTTGCCCTCGGGAGTCTACAAACACCATGCAGATCTCCGTTTCGCTCACCGAACACTTTTTGAAGTTTGCACCCGTCTTCCAGCCCCCTCTGCCCCCTGACTCCCCACAGTTCTGCACAATTGCAGACCTCTTCATTGACAATTACCGCGTGAAATGCATCAACGGGAAGATGTGCTATGTACAGAGGCAGCCTCCCCCCGTGCCCCATAAGATAAAGTCCGAGGAAGTACCTGTTCGCAATGCCTTAATCACAAAAGAGAGCAATACACCAAAACCAGATCACTGCTCATCCCCTTCCAGCTCTGAGGACTCCGGGATCAATGCGGTGGGGGTTCACTACATGGAGTCATGTGACGAGGACACGGAGGGGGTGGCCGAGCTAAGTTCAGAAGAAGATTACAGCCCGGATAGCAGCTGGGAACCAGATGAATGCCCGCTCTTGTCACCCTCACAGTGCGAAATGGAAGTGATTGAGACTATAGAAACCACTGTGTGATTTGACAAGTTGGTATCAGATCAGTCCAGTTCCCACTCAGTAATGTTGCTTTTGTAGTATTTATATTTTCTGTTTTTTCTGACAATCCCTTTTTTCCAGTGCACTTGATATTTCAGATTCCTCATGGGAGTGTGGTCACAGGACTTGCAGATTGGTGAACTAGCAGCAGCCTGAGCAATTTTAACATGTTCTCAGCTTGATCAGATCTCCCAGGTCTGCACATAAGGTAGTGATAAATCTTAAGACTTTTATAGCTGAAATAGGCCCTTTTCTTGGTCTGGGTTATGTCATATACTACTTTTCATACAAGGATGTGCCACTCAAGATGTTTCCATCTGTCAGGATGTTTGCGGTGGGCCTTCAAAGCACAGAGGGGGAGCTGGTGCAGCACGCCTGTGAGCAGCAAAAGCAAGTTGCCCTTACTCTTTCTCAAACAGCTACGCAAGGTGCAACAACAAGAGGCTCTTTCCGTCTCTCTCTGTCCTTGCGCATTGTCCATCCTTTTCTATAGTGCTGGTGCGACCCTTCCCAAAGGCTGCTTACACCATGCTTCCAGCGGGGTTGGGATGGCAGGCTAGAGAATGCACAAAGTGCCTCCAACTTTTCTCCAGGCTATGCACCGAGCATCTGCTGAGTTAGATCAGGCTCTGAAATCTCCTGAGAAGGCGACTGTTGCTCTAGAGGGGGATCAGTTGCCTGGATCCAGCTGGTCCCTTTTCTCTACATGGATCTCGGGAACGGGATCTGGCTTTTGCAGCTTGGCAGGAAGGGGGAGCAGGCAGAGATGAAGCGCAGCTGTCTAACCAATACCATGCTAGACTGGGGTGTAAAAAATGAAGTGACTACCTCCAAACACACAAAATCTGCCCTTGGCTTTGCCTGCTGCTTTTCCTCCTGGGCTGTTTGGTGCCGGACATGTGCACTCAGGACCAAATGGCCTCAGGGCCTGCATTTGCCTGAAGAATAACAAAATTAAAAAAAAAAAGTTTATCAGCCACACCACTGTGTTGGCAGAGCTTGGGGACAGCATGGAGGTGCCCATGGGAGGTGGCCCATGGGCTTGGTAGCACATGTTCTTGTTAAAATACAGCCTAAGGTCATTCTAGTGGAGAGAGGAAGCTTTGGCTCCTGCTCCTTTGCACCCAGTTCAAGAGCAGATTCTGAACAGGGTTTCCTCAAATAGCTTGTAAGAGTGAACCATTTCACTAGTGGTTTGGTTTCAGCCCTGCTTGATGAAACAATGTCATTCTCAGATTTCAGTCAGCTTGAATCAGTTGGAGTCAGTAATAACTGTTTTCAACAGCATTACTGAATTTCATTGTGTATTTGCTGTTTATGTTTAAAAGTCATTGGTGAATATAAGGCTGTATAAATATGTACAGTTTAGTGATTGATACTAGATTATAGTCTGTGTTATAGGATGGCTCATCTCTCTCACTGTATCCTGACAAGGTATTACTAATTTTATACACTTTGTAATCAGTATCTTTAGAAAAAGTTTAGGCAACAGTGTGTGTATGTGCACAGGCGCGTGTGCTAGGAGTTTACCATAAATGGTTATAAAGTAATACTGTACTTTTTAGACTAACACTTTCAGACAAAAATAATAGGTTTTATAGTTTTGATGACTTACATAAAAAAGCGCAAAAGTGCTTGTTAAATGAGGAACTTGGGCCATTGCATGAACAGATACATTCTCACAAGGCACCTGAAAATACTGTTTTTCTGAGGGCATTTAAATGAAGGCTGTAGTAAAACTAAATAGGATTTATTTATTTTGGGGGGGGGGGTTGTCTTTCAAGGTTAACTAAGGTTTCTAACAACCTTTTAGTGTCTTTGGACCATTCAGACACATTCCATAGGTAGAAGGAAGCATTATGTATAAACCTACAGCATTTATTCATATTTAATCTTTCAATTGTAATCTGAGTGGAGAGCTGAAAAAGCTCACTCTTGTGCCTGGCCTGCCTGAACTTTCTTCCCGGAGGTGGCTTCTCCTTCCCAGGAGGACGGGATGGGCTGGCAAATACATCCTCCTGAGGGACTAGCGGCAGCCAGGGCTTTCCCGACGCTAGGGTACCCCTCAGCAGCTCTAGCTGTGGGCGCCAAGCACAGCAAAGGTCATCAGGACCCTCTGACTTGGCACGAGCTCACCTTGTTTGCAAGCAAGCAGGAGCCGCCTCTTCCTGCTGTTAGGGAGCACCGGCTGTGAGCATCGAGAAATTCAGTTGGGTGTTTATGACCAAGACTTACTATAAGATGCTGTGGTCTTGCAGGTTCGTATCACTGTCGTCAGGATACATTCTTTCTTAACTGTAAGTAATTAGCAATATTCACAAGCTGTGTCTCCTACCCAGGATTTGTTCAGATGTCTTAAGCACAAAAAGCTGCCTCTTCCTTCTGTTGTACCTGTAAAATGTCAGTGGAGCAGCCTGGTGTGGGACAGGGCTAGTTCTGGAAAGCGTTTCAGCAGCCAGCACGGTGGCAGGTTTCTCACTGTGCTCCATCACACACCCCGGTTCAGAAACATGCTTCTCACAGAAACGTGATTTCTTTGCACAAAGACTGGCGTAGATGTGCTGTAAGAGACATGCCCTGGGCTCATTGCTCCACTCTGCCAGGGAGAGGTGTGTATATTTCCTCTTAATAAACTACTAAACAACTGAAGTTCTGCTTGTCCTAACTAACCATGTATGTTCCATACTAGTGAAACATTCTGGTATTTCCAGCAAAGGAATGGTCGCTTACAGCTTCAGATGGTGGCACCTGAAACACGCACCCAGTGCTAGGCAAAGGAATCCAATAACCATGTGGAGCGCACCAGGCCCAGCCCCACCTGGGTTTGGGCACCTGGTAAGTACTGGGGCTGGTGGGCAACCTCACAGCCCAGTTCCCACTTGCCTGTAAAAGAGCTGCCCTGGTCAGGGAAGACAGCAGGGAAAAGAGTTGCAAGCCCAGGCTGATATCTGGCAGAATTCAGCTGTCTGTAGCCCCTTGACTTACCTCTGACTAGGCTTCCATGTGGCTGCAGGCTGGAAACATCAGTCTGGGGCACCATTTTGTAGTTCTTAATGCCAGTGGGAAGAAGGTCAGGACACTGGGCATGCTGGGTGCATGGTGCTGGCACTGCTCCCCAGCCAGGCAGGATCTGCACAACACCTGGCGCTTTTGTGTTCCTTGGAGGCAGCAGCACTGCCCTGTATTCCTGCCATTCAGTGCAAGCTCTGCATGGACCAGCCACCAGCTCTGTGCAGTAGTTCTGTGTGCGTGGAGAGCAACACCTGCATGGTGCTGTGGTCTTCCTGGGAGTGTCGGGGACCCTGAGGGTATGATACCCTAAAAGACCCAAGTGCTAGTGACAAAATGAACAGGGGGAAGAGATGAGATAATGATCACTGGACCAATAACACATGTTGTTAGGCCAGGATCTGGAGTATGTTTCACAAACCAGAGGTGACAATATAGAAACACCACTGCTACTAGGTTGCAGCTGTGTGAGTAGAGCAATAAAGGTGCCGCTGGGAAGGGACACTGCCCAGTTTGGTACTGCAAAACAGTGCGTTGAGCTTAGTAGTGACAAACCTTTCTGACCATCAGCACCCATCACACTGATCCCTCTCCCCCTTGCAGCCCCCAAGGGCTTGCAGCACCTTTTTACACACACACACACACACACACACTCCCCCCAATCCTCCCCCAACATAGGTACAACAAGGTGAGAGGGGAGGTTTGGGCTTCACCCGCAGTGACAAGATGTGTCTTTCTGTAGCAGAGTTCAGGGGCAACTGTACTAAGAAAACGGAAGCCAGCAGCACTGTCAGACCAGCAGCCCTCTTGCATGCTCCCTGTGCACACAGCTCACACAGGAAAGTCCAACCAAGGGCTTTTTTAATGGAAGTTCATAGGAACACACCATGCGCAGGTTAGTTTGTTCACACATGTATCATCTTCTGCATTCTTCAAGCCTTTTCGAGGTTCGCCTGTTCTGTGCCCTCAGACCCCACGGCTGCTGCCACGAGCCAGTGGGCCAGGCCTTGGCAGAATAACTGCTTTTACTAGTACCACAGTTAAAATTTGGGTATGGTACCCATCCACAAAAACAACACAGCACTGTGACACACAGGCTCTGGGCACAGGACAGGCTGCACTCCTCCAATGGAGTGGAGCAGAGTCAGTTATTTGGCAAAGTTACCAGCGCTGCCACGAGCCTCCGGCTCAGTGCAGGTAGCCCAGTGCTGCGCGATGCTTCAGCACACTTAGTTTTGCCCCCAGAGTTCACGGCTTCTAGCCCAGCTGCCCCACGGCTGCTTTGGTTTAGTGAGAAGCAGCAGTAGAGCTGGGGAGACTACACACTGCTACAAACCCACCAGCACCCAGCAAGACTCAACACAGCACGGAGGGTTCTGGGAAAGGCAGCGGAGGTGGGGAAAGTCCAGTGTTGTGATGGAAACGCTTCCCAGCACCAAGACCTGAAACCAACTGTGGCCTTGCCGCAGCTGGAGGCAGGAGCGCTAGTCTTCAGCCAGTGGAGGGGGGGCCAGATGGAGCTTGAAGTTCTCATTCTGGAAGACACTGCTGGTGGCCGGGTCACCGTGGGAAACGCTGAGCAGCCCGTGCTTTTCACCACCATGGCCACGAGACAGTTCTGTCAGGAGAGCTAGCTACAAGACAAAACCCAGACAGATCACTGTCCGGCAGCCTGGGCAGACTGCCTAGAAGCACTTGTGCAAGATGCAGAAAGACAAAGTGCTCATGGCGGGGCTCACCTTTTTCTTGCAGCAATTAGAAAAACCTTAACACATGTAAAGAACAGGGTATATATGGTATGTAGTGACCCTATAGAGCTCAGTGCAGGACAACAGTCCTGAACTAAACAACTTTCCAGGTGTCTTTAGGTTGCTTTAAAGTTACATAATTGAAAAACAATCCCAGAAAGAGCTGAAAGTGCCAACAACTACAGCCAAAACAGGCAGGAGGCACAAGGAAAATGCAAGGGACAGAGGGAGGCTGCACTCTCCTTGGGACAACATGGGGGACACGAGGAGGGACACTTCTGTGTGATCACAGGAGCCACACAGTGTCTGGAGGGGAGGTTATTTGCAAATCTAAAAAGAACCCGAGAAACCTCACACCATAGACACTTTTCAGGCCCAGCCCCAAAGCCAGAGGCATTTCCATGGTTTCACTGCCAGCAAATTCCCCAGCTCTGTCAGAAGCAGCGTGGCTGCCTTGTGATGTGAAACAGCCAGCTCTATGCACAGTAAATTGCCAGCAATAAACAAAACCCAAGAGAAAAGCCAAAGCCCACACTGCCAGTGCCAATATCTGGTCTGACAACATGCAAAATACCCTTCACCAATTTAAAACCAAAAGGAAAACAGGTGGTACATACTCTGGAGGTTCCTCGGTTGAGTCGGCAGAGTTGGTCAAAAGCTTGGATCTGCTGAGGATCCAACAGAGACTCTGAACTTGCCTGATAAAGAGAGTGAGAAGGTTACAGAGAAAACGCACAAGATGTCAAGTTCATATACACAGAAATTGATCCCTGCTCCTGTCCTTGGTTCTGGAGCAGCCAGTCTGTAGCCTCTTCAGGGAGGCTTTTTTAGCCATCTTTCCTCTGGCTTGAAACCACTGTGTGCACCTTTGTTTTGGGGAAAAAAAAAAATCCTTGCACAAAGGACAGAGATACCCTTACATCCACAATGACTTATTGTTGGTGTCTGTAGCTGATGGCAGACAGACTAACAGTAGTAAGTTAGAAGAAAAGGGGGGGGGGGGGGGGAGGGGAAGGGGGGGGAAAACGCCCCCCAGGCAGGCGGGGGGAACGGCAA